TTTACATAAAGAATTCTATATATTTTTCTTACATCATGTCTTTTGCAGTGCATAACATGCAAATGATTGACCACATATTTTCCCAGAAGAAGAGAGGGAATATGTATGAATTCTGCAGATGGGAAAATATTCATAAATACTTGAGTCCTTCAGAGCAGTCTCAAAAGAAACATTCCAATTGTATAATACATTTAGCAGTGTTGGAAGATCAATGGAAACTTGAAGTGGAACAACTTTTATTCACTTCCCTCTGGTGATTTGAACTAAAAATTTTTTTTGTTAGGAGATTGTTTGGGGATAATGAGAGGACTTGATCTAATTATTAAGGACAGAACTCATCTTGGTTGAACTTAACTCTCTGGGTTAATTCATGAGAATCAGCAAGGACTGAAATGACTTTCTTGTCTGAAAGTTAGGATGCAGCCCTCTTTGTTGTCTCTTCATTTGAATCAGATTTCTCAAAGATTACCCTTGGATACTATATACTAGTCCATTTTGGTGAACAGCTCTCATTTCACTTCTCATTTCAATTGCATTCTCAAACTGTCATTGAAAGTTTACAGGAGTCCCCTGCTTCCAGAACTATTAATTAATACATTTAAATTAATAGTTCTGAAAGAAAAGGTCAAATGAAGGTTCAGGTAGCCTATCTGACAATGCATCTGTATGGTAAGCAGACCCAAAACCACAACAAGATCATCTGTAAAAATATCACTATCTACAGTGACAGCAAGACTATTCTGCAGCAATCTTTAAAAACAACAAGCTCCCCATTTCCCACAAGACCATCACTCTGCTTAACCAGCTAAATAATCTCCAACTTAACATTTTCTTCAACTAGGTCAAAGGCCACTCTGGCATTCCTGGGAACAAGCAGGCAGATCTGCTTGCCAGGAAAGCTTCAACCACCTGCCCATACTATTCCTACAAGATCATCCCTCCCAGCTGGGTCATCTGCCAGCTAAAACATTTAACTGAATCTGAGTGGCAAAAATGTTGGAACAGAATGAATAACCTATGAGTTTATCTCAAACATCTCCATCAGACAAGACATGAAATACCTACAAACTTCCCACAACATCAAATGGCCACTAACTGGACACAGGAACTTCAGTGCATACCTTCTTCAGTTCTTCACAAAGGTAATAGACAACGCCAATGCAATCTTAAAGAAGAAGCAACCCCCACCACATTATCTACCTGTGTCCTTCTTACAGCAACAAACAGAAACACCTCATCAACATTGTTACAAATGAGGGCCACCACTGGCCCTGATGCCCAAGACATTTGTAAGCTCCAAGAACACTTTTGCAAAAACTACGATCCTTTCATATTATAATCTATAATTACGGTTTCCTAACTATGGACTTCTCCCAATGTCTGTCACTCTTATGTCAGTGAATATTGTAATAATGTTGTAACTGTAATCCATAATTATATCCATTATTGTAATCCTTATTAATCCTGATTAGTATTGTAATGTTTGCTTGGTCACATCACCTGGAAGCAACATACTATTATGTAATCATGAATAAGGCAATCTTTCTTTTGTATATATATACCTATGTCATGAATTTTTCTCAATGAACAGATCCTGATGGCAATGACGAGACCTCTCACTTCTTCCACCTTTTCTTCCCTTTCTTCCACCCACTTTCTCACTCCATCCCTCCTTCCTAATCAACATCCCTCTAACCCTCTCTTCTTCCACTGCCTTTTTGCCCTGGCTATGCCTTATGATTCGGCCTCTATCTCTTTCCTCAGGTGTATGGTAAGCAGAAGTTGTGGGTTCAAATCCTGTTCTGGCCTCATTCTTTTTTTACATAAATTTCTAAATTAAAAATTAATTTACTATAATTATTAAAATTAATACAAGATGACAGCATACCTCTAGTCAAATTAATTACTTGTAGTAACTAATCATTAATATAGTAATGATTTGGAATAAATTAATTAAATCAGGTTAGGAGTTCTTGTTGTTATATATATAAATACAGTATATCTCAAATAGATCTTTATGAGCAAATAAGACAATTCAAAGTACAAGAACTAGTATTTCACTCTTCCATTCGAAATTCTAATTGCATTACAGTAATACCAACACCAAGTTATTCTGTAATCTACCTTCTTGAAGCATTTTAATACCCTAATTAATCATCAACTTCAATCTCTAATTATCAACAAGTTAATAGATTTGTTCTTGAATATTCAATACTAGTTACTAACTAATCCATACAAGGCAAATGGGAAGCACTGTTACCATATTCTCATTGTTTTCATATATTACACTTATGTTTCCTCACTTCATGACCTTCATTTCCCTAACACAATTCAAAATTAATTAATAATTAACAAGACAAATAAAATAAAACACAGTTTGTCGTGCTATATGTTGACCATTATATTTTCAGGCAATTTTACTTATTGGTCTACAATTAAAATCTTAATTTTCCACTTTATTTGGGTTAAGTTCTTCATACCCAAATACGTCTTCTATTTCTGCATTGAACAGTTTCTGACTTATAGTAAATTGCTCAATTTTGTAGAATTTTTTCTGTTCAGGCAGGTTTTACTGTATATATATATATATATAACACTCTGGAACATGTATGTATATTTATATATGCATACAATTTACATATATTTACATACATACATATATATATATATAATATATATGTATATATACATACATATTCCAGAAATTTGATAGTATATACCTGTATTAAAAACCAGTAAATATAACCTTTTTGACCCTGATAATGCATATGCATAATCAGTAATGATATACAGTGGGTGATCGGTTAACGAACATAATCCGTTCCAAGACTTTGTTCGCTATCCGAATTGTTTGTTAACCGATTATCGATTTACCATAGGTTTCTATGGGAATTTGATTAATTGGTTCTGGAGACCCCCAAAATAAAAAAATATATACTTTCTTACTACCTTTATTTATATGTATTGATGATAATAAAAATACATACATAGTCTTGCGTTTTTATTAGTCGTGTTTTTTTCTGTTTGAAAGGGTTAAAGAATCTGTCTAATGTCGATTGCTTTTCTCTCTTCTTCAGGATTTTTCGTAAGTAATTAATAGCATTGCAATTGCAGAAATCCCCAAGCCTTAACCTGGTTTGGATGCCATTCTAAGACCGTTGTTCTGACATCCTCCCACTTCTTCAAAGGATCTTTAATATAAGATATCGGCATTAATCCTCTTTTTCAGAAGAAAACATATCTCGCCGAGTTTCTTGGTGTTCTTCATTCAAGAGTTCTTGGCGTTCTTCTGTCGTCAGATCCATTTCGTGTTCCATTATGAACTGTTCGATATTCTTTATTTCTCAGATGTGATTTTTGTTACTCCTTTAGCTGCTTGAGTCTTCTTGATTATACAGTATGTTTCTTAAATAAGATTGAACTTCAGCCTACTGTAGACCTGTTTACGCCATACTGCCCAGCAACATTAGGCATCTTCTGCCCACTCTCTACCTTTGCTATTATACTCTCACCTTTCGAAAAGAAAAACAGACGCAAAACTTAACGAGTGCCTACCCGACAGTCTCACGAATACATAAAATAATTGTTTTGTCAGAAAAATAAAAGGCTGAAATTACAAGGAAGAGTTTCAAAGTTCGGAGGAATAATATCCGATCGGTATATATTGGCTTGAGCGTCGATGTCGACGTTTCCCACACTCCGAAAACTTTCGAATTGTTGCCCGAAGACAAGGGAAGACCAATCGGTATTCATTAATTTACGTCGCTTCTTCTTGTGTTTGTTCTGTGGGGTGTTCGTTATCCAATCATGTGTTCGTTGTCCGAACATAAAAATCTTTCGCGAAAGTGTTCATTATCCGATTTGTTCGTTATGCGATCTGTTCGTTAAACGATCACCCACTGTACTTATAATAAATGATATATGGTGATAAGTAGAAAAAAACCACAGAAAGTGGTTTTGTTGGAGGATTACTAGGAATAAGGGAAAAGAGAGAGGAGAGAGAAAAAAGTAAGAATTTAAATAAAATTAATAAAATAAGAGTGATGTGAGAAGTGAATTTAACCAGGAGGCTATATTGGTCCAGTTTTAATGTCAAGCTGTATGGTTTACTATCAAACATTTGCAACACTGATAATATCTGACTTAAATTTCCAAATAATTAGGCATATAGGATGATTCTTGGCATAAGTTGTTGTAATATTCTATCTTATAGGGTCCTTACTACTAATTCACATAGGTCCCTGATTCCCATGGGAATGTTGCACTTTTGCAGGTAAGTGAGATTGTTAAATGTAATGAAGAACATGTAACAGTTTGTGTGGAAGCACATCAAGAAGTCGAATACTGTCTTGATGTGCTTCATGCGACTAACTGCAGGAAGTTGAATGATGTGTTATGTGACAAAAAAGTTAGTTGCAAACTGAAAGGTAAATCATGCAAATTGGTTGTTGACATGCAATGTTGTATGGGAATGAGACATGGGCAATCACAAGAGCCTGATAAAGAAAGATGGAGATGGCAGAGATGAGAATGTTGAGATGGCTGTATGGAGTGTCAAGGAAGGATAGAATAAGGAATGAGTTTATTAGAGGTTCTGTAAAGGTGGGTCCATTAAACAGGAAGATGCAAGAATGCAGGTTGAGGTGGTTTGGCCACATAGAGCAAAGTAGTGAAGATTATGTTGGAAAAAGGGTCAGAAAATTGGTAGTGAAAGAAAGGAGGAAGGAGGAAGAGAGAAAGACCAAGGCTGCATTGGAAAGATAACGTGGAGGAAGACTTGAATCAGAGGGGACTTAAGAGAGAAGACACCCTTGATAAGAAGAAATGAAAGAAACATATTAGAGAAGGAAATGTTGACCCCATATAAACATGGAAAAAAACAAAGATGAAGAAGAATTCATTAAAATTTATTATTTGAAAACAATAGAGAACGGTTATAAACTATACATGATATATGAAAGATTTAAAAAAATTAACAGTAAATTTCAGTTAACACTTACTTTGAAAGAAATACCTAATTTATTTATTTCAGAATGAATTCGACTACTCCAATCATAAATTCTGTAAGTTAAGCGTGAATATCCAAAGAGAGTAATAGCTGTTAATCCTATTTATAAAAAAAATTCTATTTTAAATTAATATTATCTAGTATTGTTTTAATTTTCTTTTTAATTTTAATAATTAGAAGTAACTATAAAACGTTTATTGTATTTACCTCTTTGTTCACATATATTTCCTTCATATTGAGATCCAAAACAATTACAACTGATCCTGGTATAATGATTTACACAGTTTCCATTATTTTCACAAATATTTCCTGTTAAACATAAGTCTATACAACCATTTTCTACACTAGAAAACTTTACAGATGCTCTGGACAAATTTAAATTTGACTTGTAAAACTCAATATTTCCTATACACCCGATAAATTTTTCATAATTATACAATTGACTTGAAATTGGCATAACATCAAACCCTATAAAATTATGAAAACAAAAAGCGATATTAGATATAATATTTTAATTTTTATTTTAAATCAAAATTTATTAAAACTAATATAAGCAATAAATTTAAAAAATAAATTACTGAAGAGCTACTAAATAAAAAATATTTTGAACTACAGTATATTTTTATAATACAGTAGAGCGTCGATTATCCGAATCGATTGGGGACTGGGGTTGTTCGGAAGATCGCTGTTTCGGATAACCGATTTATGTACGAAAAAATATATTAATTTATCCCATCTTGACATTTTTCTCCGTTGCGTGTCGCTTCGCGTTGAATTTTTGTCGATGTTAAGCCTAACGAAAACTATTGTATCGTTAAAAATTATTTTATTATTTTGTACGAACAAAATAAATATATTGAAAAATATAAAAACAATAAAAAATTATACTTCAGAAGTTAATTTAGTATCAAAAACGTAAAATATTTGAGTAGCCCAAGACATAGCCAAAGATTGCAGCGCCACAGCACTGGCGAAAATTTAAATTTGCCGACTGGAATTCTTTCGGATGATTGACGTTTCGGATGATTGACTTTCGGATAATCGACGCTCCACTGTAATTATAAAAATACAGCTTTAGCAAATTTACATAATTAGAAAATAGTACATTAGAGCCTGGGAAGTGGAAGAATGTGTAAAAGCACTTTTGACTAACACAGCAATTTTTTCTTCAACTTCCCAGGCTCTTACTGCCAAATTAATGTTTATAGAGAGCATAGCCAATGCACATAATTACTGCAACATTACACATAAACTGATTGAACGTTATCAATGGATGCAAGCTGGATTCACCCCAGTTAGCTTGCTGAAAGATGGCAAATGAAGGATGTGAATGGGTCCCTGTTACCTATAACCCATTTCCTGACTGATTACCATGCCCTCTTGTTTACGTTTATTTTGTAAAATGACCGAGGGCAATATAGGTCAGTCAGGTGATATTACAGTAGAACCTCGATTATCCGGACTAATTGGGGATAAAGATAATCCGGATAAGGAAAAATTTGGATAATCGAAACAAATACTTTAATTTGTCTTTTAATGATAATACAACACGTTTTCTTTTCGATGACATATCGGTAATATTAAAAATAAATACTGTATTTAAATCGTGATCAAATTTTCAAGAAACAAACGTTCGTATTGAATTTGGACTAGGCCGCGTTTCGTTATGCAGCGCTCAAGAAGCGCTTTACAGCGAACCCTCTGAAACCCGTTTCTAAATGCAGCGCTGCAATGTAGCGAACCGTTTCTAAACATTTGCTGCAAGAGGTCGCTGCAGCGAAGATAAAAGCAGCTTTTACGTCCGCTACAAGTGTAAAGCAAAATGGACGCTTGTGTGTATAATATGATATTATGCTGTAAAAATAAAAAAGTCGAAGTGACTGTTGATAAAAATATTATGGAAAGATTAAGAAGGATTAAATTTTATGAAATGACTCTGAAAGTTATCTAAAGAATAAGAAAATACTATATTTTAAATATAATTATATATCTTTTATCTCTTTACTTTGTTCACATTTATGGAAAGATAAATGCTCGATTCTTTATATCTCTTTATGTAAATATTGTAGTTCTTTAACTAAAGCACTATTTTCGGCTGTAACTGGAATTAAAGGATAGATTATGACGTCCGTGTTTTGCTCGAGCGGAAAGTGTTTCTAAACTATGTATGATGCAGCCACGTGTAGCGATAGCTGCTCGTGACGGCATTTACGCTGCACTCTCACTGCATAAAGAAACGCAGCCCTACTACTGACCAACGCTAACAGACTACCTATTGTTTAAAAGGCCCTCTGGTGGCGCGATAAGACGGAGTTTATAAAATAAAAAGCAGTCGAAACTGCATTTTTATGAATAAAAATTTGACAAACTATTTATCGTTTTATGACGAGTAAAATTTTTTCGTCGCGTTCGCGGCTTTTAAGTAATGCATAAACCTTCGAGGTGCAAGGCCCTTCGGACCGCGAGGCATAGGCGTCGTCCATGCCTTACGCCGCCCTTGGTCATAGAAATGATGTAATTTGAAAATAAATTATTTATAAATACGTATGTCAAGTTATATTTTTATTACTACGTAAACTATATTTAAGAGTTTACGACCACTGTGTCGGGTGAGACGTTGTTGAAACAAAAAGGTTATGCATTCCATCACGTACATAAACAGTGTCGTAATTCGCCAAGTGCAAATCAGCAAATTCGTAAAATTTTTGTTTATTTTGAACAATCCGGATAATCGAAAATCCGGATAATGGAGGTTCTACTGTATTTTTAAAATTCACCAAAAATTAAATTATTATTATATTCATATGAAAAAAATTACATATATTTATTAATACGAGGAAGGCTGAAAAGTAATGCACACATGCTTATAGAACACAAACAAAAACAAGTAGCAAGATCGGGCAAAAAGTACATTAAAGTAGAATTCTTAAGCTTCAAAATTATATATTTATTTTTCAACATAGTCACTGTTAAGGCTAAGATATTTCTCCCAACCTGTAACAAGTTTTTTCATTCCGTCACTGAAAAATTCTTCTGACTTTTCTCGAATCCAGGACTTGACAGCAGCCTTCACCTCATCATCTGAGGTGTAATGATTAACCTTGACGTCTCTCTTAAGTAGAGGAAAAAAATAAAAATTGCAAGGTGCAAGATCAGAGGAATAAGGAGTGTGTGGAATCGGTTCAAACTTCAGGTTTCGCAGAGCCGCTCTAATTGCGCGCAAGGTGTGTGGACGAGCGTTGTCATGTTGCAAGATTATTGGCACCAGGTGATTATTTGTCGTGTTAGAGGCAGCCTGGCGCCAATAATCTTGCAACATGACATGACAACGCTCGTCCACACACCTTGCGCGCAACTAGAGAGGCTCTGCGAAACCTGAAGTTTGAACCGATTCCACACACTCCTTATTCCTCCGATCTTGCACCTTGCAATTTTTATTTTTTTCCTCTACTTAAGAGAGACGTCAAGGTTAATCATTACACCTCAGATGATGAGGTGAAGGCTGTTGTCAAGTCCTGGATTCGAGAAAAGTCAGAAGAATTTTTCAGTGACGGAATGAAAAAACTTGTTACACGTTGGGAGAAATATCTTAGCTTTAACAGTGACTATGTTGAAAAATAAATATATAATTTTGAAGCTTAAGAATTCTACTTTAATGTACTTTTTGCCCGATCTTGCTACTTGTTTTTGTTTGTATTCTATAAGCATGTGTGCATTACTTTTCAGCCTACCCTTGTATATTTAGTTTTAAATATGACATTTTTCAATAAATTTTATTTTAAAAATTTAGGAGAAAAAAAATTTTTTTGATCATAACTGACATTTAAAGTTTAAAATTCATTACTTTTTGTCAAAATTCACATTTTCCAGTTACTTCGTTTTTATTGGCACTGGGCCAGAACGATGTAGAATATTGTTTCCTACAATTATATATAAGTTTTATGCATGTACGTATTTTCATTTTCAAGTTATCACACATTAATAAAAAACAAACGTATTAATTTTAAGCAAATTTTCACTATAATATAGTAAGCTTTATTTTTGTTAACATAAGCAAAAATTAAAATATTTTTACATNAAAAATAATATATCAGAACTGACATTTAAACTTGAAAATTTGTTACTTTTTGTCAAAATTAACATTGTCCAATTACCTAGTTCTTTTTGGCACTGAGCCAGAACAACGTAGAATATTGTTTTGTACAAGTCTATATAACTTTTATGCCTGTACGTTTTTTCATTTTGAAATTATCATACATCATCAAAAATTTGTTTGAAATCAAAACTTTTATTTTGCTCTAAACTATGTGAAATTGAAATTTATGTGAAATTGAACAAAAATGAAAATATTTCTGATAAACATATGATCATCTTAAAACATACATGTAACGTTCAATGATTTTTTACATTAAAATTTAAAGAAAAGTAGGGAAAAAAAATGCATCTGTGATGCAGTCAGGACCAAATCTGTAAGAGTTTATTATTAAACAGTCATTATCACTATTATTTTTTGCATTTGTTGCAAGATGATAATACATATAACATAATGTAAAATGCTTGATCAGAATTATATCACATACCTATCCTGTCAGCAATGATGCTTTGGTTAACATTCAGGATGTAACCCCTTGAGGCAAAGAGTGCAGATAGTTCTCGATTGCCTCTTCACTCCCATACCAGTGCAGACACAGCACCTCAACTCTTTTCTTTCAGATAACTTCCTGAGTTCTCTTGGTCCTCGAGGATCTTCAGGAAGTTTTTTGTTGCTAGCCATTCCCCATCCAAGCACTCTATTATCGAAATGTAAAAGGCATACCTAGACTTTAGTTTTTCTGGGCCTCCAAAATTCTCTTTGTACAGTAGATACAAGTTCAACACCATCTTGGCTATAATGAACCCAACTTTTTTCCAGTATTTCATGGTCTTTCTCTCATTCAAGAACACATACATCATGTCTGATGTATCAACCACATCCATAAATTTATTGTATTGTAATATTATTTGTGGCTTTGACTCAGTCACTCTGCACATAACAATTAGTTCTTCACATGCCCTCACATGGCTGGATAGTAACAGGACCAGAGTATTTTGTGAGGATTTTTCTCAGAAGCCACAAGCTAACAATGGCCAGATCTAAAATAAGACGTTTGACCAACAGAAAACTTAGATTTCAGTGGAGCTGGTAAATGTTTTTTCTGTTTCATCGAACAGTGTCAGCGATGTAGGTACCCAGTGAATATAAAGATCGAACAAGAGGAACCAACATGAAGAAGTTATCTACAAAAAGATGATAACCTTTATTCACAACCCTGTCTCAAGCAGTTTTTCTATGATGATGTACCCTAGACCAAATTTAGAATTGTTGTCCTTTTCCTGCTGAGACCTGGCCCCTTTATAAGTCTGTAAGCAGTACTTACAGACTGAGTCACATAGCATCCAAAATTTTATACCCCACTGATAATGATGTTTTTTCGGAAGGTACTGCATGAGAGAGGTTCTATTTTTTATACCAACAAGACTATCATCCACACAAATTTGTTGGTGTGGTGTGTAGTAATGTTCTAACACTCTGCTAGCGTGATCGACCAGCAATTGATATTTTGCACAAGGATCGTATCCTTCTTCTGTTAGGCCAGATAACTTAGAGTTATCAATGAGATGGAAAAAATGTAATAAGTGATAAAAGTGGGTTCTTGGAAACGTTTTCCCAGTTCCCAAAAAGTGGCTTGGGAGGAAGAAGTGGACCAGTAGGATGCTTTGGTAGGCGTTTTGACTAATCCCATGTTCAATATACATGCTAAAAACCCCTTTATTTCTATGACCAAAATTTTGGACCAGTTCTTCAGATAGGATGGAACATTACCCCCATGCCATTTATTACTTGTTGAGTGTAATGATTTGATTCTCTTACAGTCAACTTGAGCAAAGTCATTGTAAAAAAGATTGAAGTATGCAATCAGGGGTGAATCTGGAGATGGCATGTGCTTAGGGCCAGCTAGCTCTAGAAAAGTGAAAGGAAGTGAAGAAGGTTGCTCTGGAGATAAAACATCCTGATAGTCATCATCATCATCATCATCATCATCACTTATGGATTGCATAAATGGATTAGAGATGCTTGGAGAGGCCATATCATCTTCCGAGTTGTTATCAGACCTTTCATATTCGTACATACTCATCTCAGGGTCAGAGTCAGACTCTGAAATAGCATCAGAGATATCCTCCATGTATTCCAGATCAGAGTCATCTAAAATTTTATGTGCTTTAGATGTTGCTACCATGGTGTAAAATATTAGGTTGTTCAGAAACCCCGTGTTTCTTTATGCAGCAAAAATGTAGCAAAATGACATCACGAGCAGTGTTGGCCAATTAGAAACCAATTTCAGTGTGTTCGCTGTAATGCACTTCTCGAGCGCTGCATAAAGAAACATGGGGAAAGTAAGTTTGTTTTTTTTACCACTAGAGGAATTAGTCATATTTTTTCCACCATTTTCATTCTAAACTATTTAAATTATCATTATATATTTTGACAGCTAGCATTTTAAGCTTATTTGTAAAAAATTTTGTTTGATTTTGTGCAATTGTTTATTTTTTGTGTCCCATCAAATATGGAAGATCGAAAGCAGCATTTTCGGCATATTTTGCTCTTTTATTACTGAAAAGGTAAGAATGCTGTTCAAGCAAGAAAAAATTGTGTGATGTGTATGGAGAAGATGTATTGACAGAACAACAGTGCCAAAACTGGTTTACAAAATTCTGGCAATTTCAATATTACAAAGTTCTGGCAATTTCAATATTACAAAGTTCTGGCAATTTCAATATTACAAAGTTCTGGCAATTTCAATATTGAAAATGCACCACGTTCTGGATGGTCAGTTGAAGCCAATGAAAACAAAATAAAGGTACTGATTGAAGCAAATTGACGAATAACAACACGTGAAATCACTAAGAGATTAAATTTGTCAAATTGAACTGTTTATGATTACTTGAAACGAATTGGTTTCGTTTCAAAGCTCGATATACGGGTTCCACATGTTCTTAGAGAGAGATGCTCTCTTTGGTGGGATTTTAAGGTAATTTTTTTTTTTTGGAGTTTTTACCAGACAATTTAACAATTGATTCGAAAGTGTACTGCCATTGAGTAAACAAATTGAGTAATATTATCAAACAGAAAAGATGGCCAGAATTGATCAATAAAACAGGTGTAGTGTTTTAAAACAATAATGTCAAATTTCACACAAGTTTGGTAACTCGTAAGAAACTGTTATAACTTAGATGGGACTGTGCTATCACACCAACCATATTCGTGAGATCAAGCACACTCAGATTATTACTTGTTCCGGTCTATACATTGTCTGCTTGACAATGGGGGTACATACAGATTGGTACCCCCGTCAGCAAAGGGTTAAGATCACTATATGTCAAAATTGCCAAGAAATGCCGAGTTCATATCACATTCAGGAAGTGCCTGACTATTTTTGACATACTGCATAATGGGAAAACCCTCACAACCCAAACAGAGTCCTTGGCACACATAGTATCCCCATTAGAGACAACAGGTGTGAGAGGGATCTCATATACATTGGGTCAACTAAGTGCTGTATGGGTATCAGGTTACAAGAGCATCTTGCCAATATACAACATGTGAGAACTACTAAGGCCCTCTCTACATACATCGCAGATCCTGACATTGTAGCAGACTTCAACTGGGCCAAACTCATCCTTGCCTCACTCCCATGGAACACCTCAGATGGTTGGAGGCCATGCAGATATTTAAATCTAATTTTACATCATTGTGCATAAATTACAAGAAAGAGATGGTTTTATCAATGGCCTGGCAAGCATTTGATTGACAATGTGTTTTAACTGTACATAGAGTCTCGGTTGACAGACTGAATGCTCGGGCTCAATGTGGGTTTTAAATAAAATTTGTACTGCTAATTCGAATGCTTCTTTGAATTTGTATATTCCAAAAAGCTTTTAAGATGTTCCATCAGGTGATAGTTCTAACACCTGAAGAACTCTGGTGGAGTGTGAAAACATTTGCATTTGTTTTCTGTTTTTGCACACACCAGTTATCAGTTCTGGATGTGTTGTTAGAAAAATTACATAATACGAGGTTATCAGCCTGCACAAAATGTGATTAAAGTGATTTTTGATGGTGCCGAGTTTAAATATTTGGTCCAGTTTTTGCCAAATTTGATTAGTTGGCAGATAAACATTTGGTATTTGACTATGAATGAAACAGTTTCTTAGTACTAACAATACAAACAAATATAATATCTTAAAAAATTTTTAGATATTGTATTTTCAATTGGTGTCTACTTGACCAATGAAATGGATACTTGGATGGTATGAAATTATGCCATTTCGTACCATCCGAATATCACGATAAACATGACAATGGTAGGCTGAAATAACCAAACTGTTTATATGGTTTTTATTTTAATATTTGTTATATTATAGTATTTGATTTACATAACTACAAACGTTATCTTATATAAAAGTTTATCACACCAAGTGACCAATCTAATACATTTTATAAATTTTCTTTCTCTACAGTACACAATTTAAAGAATTTTTAAAATGTGTGAAATTGGGTACTTGGTGTGATAAACTCTTACATAGGATAACCTTTGTAAATATAAATCAAATAATATAATATAATATAATAGAAGGGTTAGAAGTACAAAATAATCTAATAATCTTAATGTTTGTACTTATTTTTTGCTCAATGCTAGTTATTATCTAAAAGGAAAAATTGTTTGAAGAATTCATAATGACAAGTTAAAATCAGCAAGTAGATAACCCACATCATCATTTAATCCATGCCTGCTTTAAAATTAATTTTTAAATAATACAAATAGCATGTGGGTTATCCACACAAAATTAAAGCAACACAAATGTTTATAGATATCAGAACAAGACAATACCAAGTATATATGTTATTAAACAAACAAACACAAATGCACACAGTATATTAAAAATAACTATACCTCCGAAATAGAAAAAAGATGAAATGTTCATTTCATTATGAAATCCTGAATATTTTTCTAATGATGGTAACTGTGCATTTACATATGTACTATCAACATCAATCCTCAAATTTAGTGTTGATAAAACTGCTACTAATGAAACTTCATGCCATTTATCATGATTCAAACCTAAAACAACATAAAGATTTATATAGAAATTATATATATAATTGTTATATATATAAATACAGTATATCTCAAATAGATCTTTATGAGCAAATAAGACAATTCAAAGTACAAGAACTAGTATTTCACTCTTCCATTCGAAATTCTAATTGCATTACAGTAATACCAACACCAAGTTATTCTGTAATCTACCTTCTTGAAGCATTTTAATACCCTAATTAATCATCAACTTCAATCTCTAATTATCAACAAGTTAATAGATTTGTTCTTGAATATTCAATACTAGTTACTAACTAATCCATACAAGGCAAATGGGAAGCACTGTTACCATATTCTCATTGTTTTCATATATTACACTTATGTTTCCTCACTTCATGACCTTCATTTCCCTAACACAATTCAAAATTAATTAATAATTAACAAGACAAATAAAATAAAACACAGTTTGTCGTGCTATATGTTGACCATTATATTTTCAGGCAATTTTACTTATTGGTCTACAATTAAAATCTTAATTTTCCACTTTATTTGGGTTAAGTTCTTCATACCCAAATACGTCTTCTATTTCTGCATTGAACAGTTTCTGACTTATAGTAAATTGCTCAATTTTGTAGAATTTTTTCTGTTCAGGCAGGTTTTACTGTATATATATATATATATAACACTCTGGAACATGTATGTATANATCATTTTTGCTATAAATTTATTATTGATTTAAAAGTTATTATTTTGATTAATCAATAAGAATTTTCCAAATTTGCTAATACAAAAAAAATACTGCTTCATTAATGTGAAAAACAAATTTTTGGAAACATATAACCATTATATTATTACTAGCAGATGAGCCCGGCATTGCTTGGACAAAAAGTAACGACAGCAAAGATTAAGGTTATTAGATTGTAGCCTAATCTTACCCGTTTTCACCAAGTGCAAGAATTAGTCTCAGAAGAGGGAAACCTAAGTAGAAAATTTTTATATATCTGCTTACCACACTGGGTTAACAATAAGATTCACAGCAACCACTAACCAGAGCATAGTACCACTAAATGATAAATAACAAATGTTTTCTTGACCCCTTCTGGGTTCTTCTTTGGGTTTACTGAATTCGAAAAATAAGCTGGGTCTTCCCAAATCATTCATAAATATAAATTTGAACATAAAATCGAACATTAATATGAAGAGTTCGAATAAAGAAAACTTATAAGCATGCACTACCTGTGTCAATTTTATATAAGATGGAACACTAAATATCGTTGAGAATTTTTAGAAGGGTCTAAAAATATGTTCGATTTCCCACATAAATGCAAAAAATACATCTAAAATAGTACAGTAGAAGAGTTCTTTGGGGTAATCCTTAACCCTCTCTCTCTCCCATGGTGAGAATTTTCAAAAATCCCTTCTTAATGTCCATTATCATGGCATACCTTATTAAAACGCAATCAAAAACGCTAAAAAACTGCATCTAGAATAGTATAATAGAAGCAGAGTTCTTCACAGTAAGCCTTAATTCTCTCCCTCTCCCCTGCAGGAAAAATTTTGAAAAATCCCTTCTTAGTGTACATTCTCATGACATACCCTAATTGTGTACAAAATTTCAACTTTCAACTCCTAACCATTTGGGTTCTGCGCTTATTATTATCATTATCATTACCAACCCATCTCAATTATAAGATAATTTATTGTGCATTTAAACAAATCACTATAGTGTATCAAAGGAGTCTGCAACTGATTGCAAAGCTGGCATTGTCATAGACTGATTTTTAATGACATGAAAAAAAGTCACAGGCCCATAACACAATCACAAAAAACTAGAAAAATAACATAAAAATAACACTAAAACAATAATTTTCAAATAATAATTCATAAAACTATTTACTGAGACTAATTCATTGCTCATTTATCCTTTTTTTTATCTGCAACAATCATTGTAGATAAAAAAAAATTAGTTCTGGCATAGTTCTTCAGTCAGTAATCATTGAATAAACAACTATGCCAGATGCATCATAAAAATGCGTATTGTTGCATGATTTTCTATTATTACATGAAGATGCATAATAATTAATTAATTAATATAAATGGAAGAAAATAGCCATGTGTGGTTTAAAACTCATTAGGTGGGTTAATAATAACCATTTCCACAATCCATAAAGATATTTAAGTAGAAAAATGCAAAAATATACTGTATTTGGGAGAAAAACAACAAGTCTTGAAACTGTAATGTTCTATACATTGAAAAGTAGAATCAATGAACTACACAACTTGGCCATCATTGCTACTTATTAGTACGTGTATTTGCATTAATTATGACATTTAAATAAGGTGAAATTTCTTTTTGGCTTAAAAACACCCAAAAATCCAGCAAACAGGAAATAATTTATAAATAGAATTAACATTTTTGACAGTATTTAACAGTTATTGTCAGGTTTTTAAAATTATACATGAAAAGAATTCAAAAACAAAAATTTAAATATATAATGTTACGAGCTGTGGGGCTTGGGATATAAATTCAGAATACAGTGTACCAAAACTGACACTTTTTAGATACACTAACAACTAAATCTTTATATCTCTCGTTAAAAGAAAGACTTCTCCAACATTCTTTTTTTCGAATTGTTCTTTTTCTTCCGAATCGTTCTTCTTTTTTTGAATCATTCTTTTTCATTTCGCCACTCTCCGCACCATGGTGCTAGTCTCCTCCGAAGCAGGTGTGACAGTAATAATAATATAATAATTCTTTATTGTTTGAACCTTAATTCATTACAAAGGGGTTACATAAAGCTGAGGTTAGTGGTACAAAATAAGTTAATATAACAGATTTATTCAAGATATTACAAAATGAAACACATACAGGGATACACAAAACTGAAGTTAGTACAATTTAATAAATTAATGTAATAGCTTAGTACAAGATAATATAAAATAAAATATATAATAATAATAATTTTTTGAAAAATGTGATATATTGATTATATCTTTCCAGGATTTAAATCTTATCAAATCCTTTTTTCTGCTTGTTTCAAATTTTATACATTAAAAAAATACATGTTTCCAAGTTTCATACACCTGCATAGTACAATTACTACAAAATTTCTCAGGATTTATTATTAGACTATTATTACATATCAATATAATTTTGACCACATCAAATTTGCAGTACTGAACATTTTACATGATTGTTTATGTCCATAAACAAATAATCCTCACACATAAAAGTTGTTTTAACACTATGATATAATTGAAAATATTTGTTTTTTTTCCAGCAAAGACCAATCTTCTTGTAAGGCTTGTTCACAGCACACGTTTATAATTAACATTTCATAGCTTTTGATTAAATAAGGATCTTGAGACAACCATAGGAAAGAGAAACCAGGTCGATCTAGCAAATTTTTCAGTGCCAATAACCAATTGTTTGTAGAATTATCCCTCGTTGGACACATTTTATACAGTTTATTATATGCTAATTTAACATAACTTTTATCATCTAATTTCAAAAGTATAATCAAAATGAAACTATTAATTTTATTATTATTATTGATATTCTAGAAAAACCAAATTCCAAACATAACATGTAAGCTGGAATTTTATGGTATAACATAAAAATTCTTCGAAGATATAAAGCAAGGACAATTTCCAGTTTATCATAATAAGTAATTGCCCATACAGGAGCAGCATAAAGTAATACAGAAGAAATCATCAAATAACTTTACATAGATATAGGCAGAATTAATTTTTAGCTCTTGAAAGAATTGACCATACTGAACCCATTGCCATTTTTGGCTTGTAAAAATTGTCCAGAAGATGAAAATAATACTCCCAAGTATATGTAATTTGAAACAATCTGATTATTAAAAAACCATTTCTCTCTGGATGATTGTCTGCCACCCTTCTTGAATATCATTACTTTTGTTTTAGAAACATTTATAGTTAATCCATAGTCACAGCAAAATTTCTCCAGAATTGCAATTTTACTTTGTAACATTTGTGGGGTACCAGCAAAAATTAGTGTCATCAGCATACATTAACGCATGTAACTCAACTTGATCAGAGAGAGAAATCCCAGATAAGTTAGATTTAGCAAGTCAAACTATCAGACCATTAAAGTAAAAATTAAAGAGCAATGGGTTCAAAATTTCCTCCTGCAGAACTCCAATGTCAATACCAAATGAATCAGTTGTTTTGGCTAATATCTTTACTCTTGCAGTAGCTTTGGTATATATATATCAGTTATAAGGCCAAGAAACTGTTTATTTATGCCCATTCTTTCTAATAGAGACCACAAAACTTTATGATTAATTAATGATATCAAAAGCAGATCTAAAGTGTACAAAAACAGTATAAAGTTTTCCTCTCTTTTTCTGCAATTTTAATTGTACCAATGCATTTATTACAAATATTTTGTCCTGACATGATCGGCCAGGTTGAAAACCTGCTTGCTTTTGACACAAAATATCATATAGTCGACCCCCTTATAATTACAGTCCCTATAATTACGATTCCTATAAAACTACGAAAAAATATACGTATTTTGGAAATGTTGAGCCGAATTAGTCTAGAATCGATTAATTTTATGGAAGAAAACCTTTCAATCAGCCGTAGTCCGTAAACTTGACACGTGTCGGGCTGTGATTGGAACGACTTGTAAGAAATCGGATTCCTAATAAATTGGAACATATCTATATCTTATAGGGGGGTCGACTGTATTTAATAATCCAATCTTCTAGTCTTTTGTTTAATAAGGAGGTAAACAGTTTACAGGATTACAGAAACCAAAGATATGGGTCAATAATTTCTGGGATCATACACACTTCCTTTTTTATATATTGGATTAACCAAAGATTCAATCCATTTTTCTGGAAAAGTAAAATCTCTTTTAATAGTGTTAGAAACATCCAATATTGTAAGAAAAAAGTTTTCTGAAAAACACTTTAAATATTCAGTTCTAATAAAATTAATTCCAGGTGAAGTACCAGATTTAAAATGGTTAATAGCTCCTTTTAATTCCT